CGAAGTTTCAAATGAGTTTCAAAATAGTTTCAAAATCCAGTTGCAAAATCGCTGTTAAGGGGAAACTGCTTTTTCTACGCGCAATTCAAAAAATGAAGGAATCTCAGAGGTTCCTTTTGGTTTTCAAAAAGTGCGAACAAAAAACTGCAATTCCCCTTAACAGATTTTGCAACCTAGATTTTGAAACTGATTGGAAACTAATTTGAAACTGTGAAAAAACGAATTTGAAACATTGAAAAACACCATATTCCGGACTTTCTGCCTCCATGCTGGCCCCTTACATACCGCTCTCGCACGCGGGAAGTTGAGCAGTGACTAAAGGCCAGAGTTTCCGAAAACTTGCCAGTTTCCAGGCGTTTTTCAAGTTTCAAATTCGTTTCCGTGTTTCAAATCAGTTTCAAAATAGTTTCAAAATCCAGTTACAAAATCGCTGTTAAGGGGAAACTGCATTTTTCGACGCGCAATTCAAAAAATGAAGAAATCTCAAAATATTTTTGGTTGCTGTGGCCTTCTTTCTGCAAAGCTCTTTTCTGTTCGTTCATGTTTTTTTGGTGTTTCTTCTTTTTTTGGTAACTGTGCACACCCTATGCATGTGCTTTGGTTTTCTAGATTTTTTTGTTTGCTATGCATGGGCCTTGGTTGCTGTGCATGCCCTTTCTGTTTCATGTGTGGTCGCTGCATGCCCTTCTGTTTTCATGCTTTTGGTCGCATGCATAACCTTTCTGTTCCTTCATGTTTTTTTGTGATTTTTTCATTGCTGTTTCTGTTCTTTCATTTTTTGGTCGCTGTGCTCTTTCCTTCACATTTTTTGTCACTGTGCATAATCTTTCTGTTCCTTCATATTTTTTGGTCAATGTACATGCTCTTTCTGTTTCTTCATGTTTTTTGGTTGCTGTAATGCTCTTTCTTTTGTTGTTTTTGTGCTTATTGTTTGTCGCCATGTGGACCTTTCCGTTTTTTGTTGTTGCTGTTGGGTTGCTGTGGGGTGCTTTTTCTGCCTTCATTTTGGTTGCTGTGTTGGTGTCTTTTTTTGTGCCGTGTGGTGGTTCCTGGTTTTTCAAAAAGTGCGGACAATAAACTGCAATTCCCCCTTAACAGCGATTTTTGCAACTGGATTTTGAAACTATTTGAAACTGATTGGAAACTTTGAAACTGTGGAAACAAATTTGAAACTGGAAAAAAACCATATTCCGGACTTTCTGCCTCCATGCTGGCCCCTCACATACAGCTCTCGCACGCGGGAAGTTGACTTTGGTTGACTAGAGTTTCCGAAAACTTACCAGTTTCCAAGACAGTCTGGAAACTGGGGACAAGATTATTTACTGACTTGTGACTGCGTGGCAAAGCTCTCCTCTTGCTCGGTTGTAGCCACCAAAGAGCAGAAATGCGCGTTTTTCAAGTTTCAAAATTTGTTTCCGCAGTTTCAAAACAGTTTTATTATCCAGCTGTTACAGGGAAACTGCATTTTGCTACGCGCAATAAAAAATGAAGGAATCTCAGAGGTTCCTGGTTTTCAAAAAGCGCGGACAAAAACTGCAATTCCCCCTCAATTGCCATTTTGCAACTGGATTTTTACTAATTTGAAACTGATTGGAAACTAATTTGAAACTATGGAAACAAATTTGAAACTTGAAAAATACCATATTCCGGACTTTCTGCCTCCAAGCTGGCCCCTCACATACGGCTCTTGCACGCGGAAAGTTGACTTTGGTCAGCAGTGAGAGTTTCCGACAACTTGCCAGTTTCGGATTTTGAAACTAGTTTTGAAACTGATTGGAAACTAATTGAAACTATGGAAACAAATTTGAAACTTGAAAAAACCATATTCCGGACTTTCTGTCTTCATGCTGGCCCGTCACATACGGCTCTTGCACGCGGGAAGTTGACTTTGGTCAGCAGTGACTAGAGGCCAGAGTTTCCGAAAACTTGCCAGTTTCCAGACAGTCTGGAAACTGGGAACAAGATTATTTACTGACTTGTGACTGCGTGGCTGCCTTGCAAGAGCGCTGTTGCTGCAATGGCTTTTCGAAACATGTTGGAAATGTGCTTTTTCGCAGTAAGCTAGAAGCTCTCCTCTTGCTCGGTTGTGGCCACCAAAAAGCAGAAATGCCGTTTTTCAAGTTTCAAATTTGTTTCCGTAGTTTCAAATTAGTTTCAAAATAGTTTCAAAATCCAGTTGCAAAATTGCTGTTAAGGGAAAACTGCATTTTTCTACGCGCAATTCAAAAACGAAGGAATCTCAGAGGTTCCTGGTTTTCAACCCTTGAGCCCCTCCTTTAAGCCCCCTTTAAGCCCCTTTTAAAGCCCCCTTGAAAGGATCTCCTGCAAACTGCATCTGCCAAAGCACACAGTCAGCAAGCGCGGCAAGAGCCGTGCCCAACAGTTTGTCCAAAAGCTGTTCCGGACAGCGTGATGCCTTGGAACTCGATGCCTTGCCATCGAAGCCGTCCGCGTCGCGGAACGGGATCCAGCCGCAACGTTAACTTGGCAGTAGGCGTTCTCAGGGCAGGAGCCGATGGCAAGGCTTCATCAGACTGCTGTGTCAACTAGCAGAGCCTTTCAGGTGCCGCCACGGAGCCTAGCTGGGCGTCGGACTGCTGGAGGCAAAGCTCTCTGACTTTCTTGTCAAGGGCTTTTAGGTTTTGCAGGTGTGCGGCGCCGCCCAGGCTCACGCGTCCTGAACACCGTCTGGATGCGTTCGAGCCAGCCGGCGAGGCGCATGTGCTCGACTAGCACTTCCGGAGTTCGTCGAAGAAGGCCGAGAATGATTTGTGCCTCTGTGCCAATGGGCTTGGCTGTTTTGGCCTCCATGCTCCTGGTACTGCTTGGCAGAGAGGCGGAAATGCTAGGGGATGCAACGGATCTTCTTTGGCTGAGAAAGCGGACACGCTGCCTGGCCCTAGCCCTCCGCATAGGCCTGCCGTACGCCCGACATGAAAAAAGCGGGTGCCCTCACGCTTGCTTTGTCAGTCGCCTTCACCTCTGCCTTCTCAAAGAATGCCGCGTCAACTCTCTGCTGTGCTGTGCTCTGCCCTGTCCGACCAGGGCTACCAAACCATCGCGGACTTCGCCTGGCCCTTTCCCAGTTGTGGAGTGTGTAGCCGCCTTCACCCTGCCAGAAGCCACAGCACAGTCCCTCTCCACGGGGAACCTGGACATCGGTGGAGATCGCCCGCCTCCGACGCGCTCTGAACATGTGCCACAAGAAGGCATCGGGCATGCCCTCTCAGCCTTCCCAGTGGATGAAGCACCTGCTCCCACGCCTAACCCTGGCGATCTGCTCGATCAGGACTCCATGCCCAGGCTTTGTGCCTGCGGGGGGGGTTAAAGGGGGAAAGCGCGGACAAACTGCAATTCCCCCTTAACAGCGATTTTGCAACTGGATTTTGAAACAAATTCCTCACATACGGCTCTTGCACGCGGGAAGTTGACTTTGGTCAGCAGCAACTAGAGCTGTTGCTGCAATGGCTGGAAGAATGTCGGAGCTGTTTCGCAGCAAGCCGAAGCTATCCGCTTGCTCGGTTGTGGCCACCAAGAGCAGAAATGCCGCGTTTTTCAAGTTTCAATTTATTTGGTCAGCAGTGACTAGGCCGAGTTTCCGAAAAACTTGCCAGTTTCCAGACAGTGTGGAAACTGCGACAAGATTATTTACTGGCTCGGTTGTGGCCAAGCGCCAAAGAGCAGAAATGCCGCGTTTTTTCAGGTTTCCATCAGCCACTTCTGCCTTTTTGGCATTACTCCATTTTGCACCTTTGCCGCCTTTTCCCCCTTTTGGATTCCCTTTAAATTTATTCCTTTCGGAATTTGGGTCCGCATTGGGACTCGCACCATCTTTGTATGGACACTGCGGCTGTAAATGGCCAACGGCCCCACATTCGAAACATCTTCCGCGCTCCAGGGAGTCCTTGTCGTGGCGAAACTTGCAGCGTGACCCAAGCTTGCAGCCTGCTTCTGTCTTTCCATATACCCAACAGAATGGACGTTCACCATCATTGCTGTACCTTTTTCCTTTCCCTTTGCCTTTGTCACCCTCCTCTGTCTCGTCACCAGTTCCCTTTTGGGCCTTGTTTAGCCCTTTTCTTGGCGTCCGAGTCCTGCTTCACCTCTTGATCACCAGCGCTATGCAATAGCAGCTCAAACTCTGCCTGTAACATTTCAGCTAGTTGTGTCGCAGTCTCAGAGGTCGGCGAGTAGTCCACCCCCAATTTCTCCCGAAAGGATGCCACTCTGAAATGAACCGTAGGGTGTTTTGCCAGCAACGCGGATGATAAAGCATCCAATCCCTTGATAAGCAGGGTAGCGTCCGGCTCGGTCGCTCGCAACTCCCTTAATCGGGAACGCCATTGCGCCCATTGACGCACTCCCTTTATGGCCTCTGATATCGAGGTAGCCGAAGATGGTTGCACCAAGAAGTTCAACATTGTGCTGCGCTCGTTTGCTCCACCTGGTTGGTAAACCGTCAGCAATTTTAACAAACATTTCACTTTTCATGCCCGACTGTATATAGGCTCAAGCACCGCCCCTCGTGGAGCGCCGTGAGTAGAGAAAAGTGCGAGGAGAACTTGTGTTCTAGGAAAGGTTAAGAGTAGCCTTTAAACTTTTATGGTAGCGGAGCTGTTGGCAACGGCCAGCAGCTGAAGAAGCAGATCCAGGGAAAGAAGGTAAGCCCAGCCAGAGGGCTGGCAGCCAGCTAGCGAGCTGGAAGAAAGAAAAGGAAAGCAGGAGTTAAGGTTTCTCAACTACGCCCTGCGAAGGTAGAAGTTCGTTTTCCGGTGGGCGTTATCACCGGAGGAAATTTGGAAAGAAGTCAAGAACACAGCAAGAGTTAAGGTTCATTAACTACGCCTTGCTGAAGCTGAAGGAAACAGGAGTTAAGGTTCATTAACTACGCCCTGTTGGATCAGTAGAGAAAAAGAAGGTGAAGAAGAAGGAGCCTTGAGTCTGGACGACTTGCCTAGATCGTCAGAACAATGGCGGAACAACAAAGAAACTTTGAAGCAATGTTGGCTGGCATTGGCCAGGCCACCGAAGCTCTAGGAAGAGTTGCGAGCCAAACAGCGACTCAGCAACAACAGCTGACAGAAGCAATGCAAAGGCTTACTGAGGCAGCTAGCCAAGGTGCTGCCCAAGCTGCGAGGAACTCCCCGAGAAGTGTGGGAGGTGAAGGAGCGCCAAGGGCGCAACCCTCAGGTGTCCCGTTCGACACCGGAGGAAAGATCTTGAAGCCGCCAGAAGTGTTCAACCCGGCAACATTGGAAGAAGAAGTCTCTCAATGGAGTGACTGGAGTTTCGCCTTTAAGAACTTTCTAGCATTCATGGACTATGAGTTCTTGGCAGACCTGAAGAAAGCTGAAGCATCAACGGATGTGTTGGACATCGAGGACGACATCGATGGATTTTATGCAGCAAGCGAAGGACGAAAGATACGAGGAATGAAGCTGTATTCCGTCTTGAGCAGCTACTTAAAGAATCGCCCGTTGAAGGTGCTAAGAAGTATCGACAACATGGATGGATTCGAAGTCTGGAGGCGACTCACAATGGAGCTCGAGCCATCCTCAAGATCTAGAAGTCTGGCAATGGCCCAAGCCTTGGTAGGATTCCCTGCAATGGCAAAGGGAGCTAGCCTGATGGATTATGTCCTTACGTTCGAGAAGCTGGTCAATGAGTACGAGAAGTTATCGACAACGAAGTACGATGACAATCTGAAGATCGGAACGTTGCTGAAGGGCATCCCGCAGAATCTGAAGCAGCACATCATGGTAGGAATCAATGAGAAGACAAGCTACAACGATTTGAGAACGAAACTGCTACAGTACGAACGAAGCAACCAAACGTGGTCTGCTGAGAACATCCTGGGATCGTTGAGCGTTCAGGCCCCAGGAACAAGTTCAAGCTCCAAGGAGTACCAAGGACCGATCCCAATGGAGATCGACCGTCTGAAGGGAAAAGGAAAACATGACAAAGGAAAAGGAGGATACAAAGGAAGCTACAAAGGAAAGGGGAAGTTTGAGAAAGGAAAAGGAAAAGGAAAAGGAAAAGATAGAAAAGGCGGAAGAGGAAGAGGTCGCGGCAAAGGCCGTGGCAAAGGACGAGGAAGGTTTGTGAGGCAAGTGGAGAGTGGTGGCTACGGAAGTCAAGGAAAAGGTTCAGGTGGAAAAGGATCAAGATCTGGTGTAGAATGCTACAAATGCGGAAAGTATGGTCATTTCGCATCAGAATGTTGGACGTCAGGAAAAGGAGGAAAGGACTCCGGAAAAGGAGGAAAGTCAAAAGGAAAGATGCGACAAGTACGTGAAGGCGAAGAAGATTGGAACCAAGATCAAGAATGGCCAAGTGGTGTGTGGAATGCACCATCACAGTCAAGTACCAGTTCACAGCCAAGCCAGTACCGAAGTCAAGAGCAATCGCAAGTGCGAGTTGCACGAGCTGCAAAAGGGAGTGAACAAGTGAGAAGAGTCAATGAAAGGTCGATGACAAGAATCGAAGAAGTTGAGGAAGAAGACGATGAGGAGGTCGTAGACCTGATCGAGATGTTTCGAGAATGGGGGAACAAGCCCCACGCAAGAATGGTGAAGGTGAAAGAAGTTCAAGTGTTCGACATAAGCCAGGGAGATGAAGAGCTGAACGAGTTGGACGAGTACCAAATGTGGTATGAAGAAGATCGACCAGAAGTCAAACAGGAATCGGTTGAGAATCCAAGTCCAAGTCCAAGTCCAAGTGCCCAAGAAGAAGATCGACCAGAAGTCAGACAGGAATCGATTGAGAATCCAAGTCCAAGTCCAAGTGTCCAAGAAGCAAGTAAGGATCGAGTACGAACGGTTCGGTTACCAGGGTATGAGGACTTGATCGAAGTTGTCCTAGACAGTGGAGCAGACTGCCATGTCTTGCCGTTAAGCTACTACAGCGAAGACCTCGGAGAAGTGGAACTTCCAGCACTGAAGATGGTCATCACGGATGCACAAGGGAACGCAATCAGAACGACTGAAGCGAGGACCAACATAACGTTCGAATTCCAAAGATCCGATGGAAAGGTGATTAAGGTCAAGGACACCGCCGTGTTTGGTCAAGTGACCCAACCGCTGTTCGCAGTGGGGAAGCTGTACAAAGTCGGATGGGGCATCGAGCCCCAGGATGCATACAGCGCTTTCCTGACAAAGCTAGTGAAGAGGAGGAATGGAACGTCGGTATCATATGTCCCGATAAGGTTTTCAAGGAACTCAACGGTGACGGACCTTAGGATCTACCGAGCGGTAATGGAAAATGGACGAGACGATGTTCCAATCTCAATCAGGAAACTTACTCTGACAAAGGAACTGAAAGATGACATAGAGAATGGCAAGTACGAAGAAGGTTGGTTTTATCTCACTGACGGACGGCCAGTGAGAATCGACTGGGACGTGAACACGACGTACAGCCTTGGACGAGACGAAGGAAGGGTGTTCAATTTCAGAACCACACTGAGAACGCGATACGAAGAAGAACAAATAGTCTGGGAAGAAATGGAATTTCATGAGTGTGCCGAGGAGTGGAGAGACAAAGGCACAACGGTCATAGTACCAGAGATCGAGAAAGCAGTGGTCATCACGATCATGGAAAGATTTCCGAGAAGTGTTGAAGATTACGGAGAGTACAGTAGTCCGTACAAGAGAAAGGAACCAGAAGAAAAGCGTGATGTGGAAATGGAACCACAAGAGCAGGACGACTTATGGAAAGGAAGATCAGAAAAGGAGTTGCAGCGAGAGATTGAAAAAGGAATCGAAGAATTGGAACAAGCGCCAAGTTCTGGGTTCGCACCAGGACCGCATATGCAAGAAGAGAACGATGAGAGTGAGCGAAAGAAGGTTGAAGAACAACTTCCGAAACTTGGAGAAGCAATGGAAGAGAAAATGAAGATCGGAGGAATCGAGCTTACACCAGCAAGTACGATAAAGCAGTTGAGAAATGCTTGCGAGTTCCTCAAGATAGGAAAGACAGGAAGTAAAGCTCAAATTTGGCAGAGACTGAAAGAAGCTGTAGCGTCAAACAAGATGAAGGAACTAGTCGAAATCTCGAAAGGACTAGAGGTTGAGTTCTCAAGAGAGCCAGATGGAGAGAAACGACCGGAAGCGCCGAGCGATGAAGAAAGAAAGAGACACGAGCTGACACACTTACCGAAGGCAGACTGGTGTGAAAGTTGTTCGGCAACAAGAAGTAGAGAAGATGATTTCAAGATAACAGAGAAGAAGTATGAAGCGTCGTTGGTAAGCATGGATTTCAAGTTCACCGGAACGAGGAACGAAGAAGATGCAAAGGATGTGAAAGATGCATTGTGCATAAGTTTGGTCATGGTGGACCAAGAGACAAAGTTTGTCCACGCAATTCCAGTGCAGAGTAAGGAGGTGACAAACTATCTGGTGGAAGAAGTTTGCAGAGTGTTGATGCTAATGCAGCCGAAAGTAATCCTGAGGACAGACACCGAACCAGCGATGATTGCTTTGAGAAAGAAGGTGCAGACGATAAGGAAAATGCAGAAGCTTGAGACAGAGATCCAAGATGTTGCACCAGACACGCACCAAGGAGCGCAAGTTGAAAGATGGGTACAAACAGTGAGGAACCTATCTAAGACGTTGGTGTATGGAGTGGAGAAAGAAGCGAAGGTAAAGATCACGAGCGAAAGTACACTGTATCCATGGGCACCGAGACATGCAGCATTCCTACTGAACAGGTTTGTTGTACAACAGGGGAAAACCCCGTTCGAGTTGGTATTTGACCGTGAGTACAAAGGAACGTTGGTCCCATGGGGTAGTGTGGTTGTGGCGAAACCACTACCGAAGACAAAAGAGAAAGGTGAAGCATGGAAGAAAGGAATCTTCGTTGGAAAAGATATGGTTTCGAACATGAATCTGGTGAGCACCAGAAGTGGAATCATCAAAAGTCGGACAATGAGACAATGTTCGCCAACGTTTGAAGTGGAAACATTAGCAAATGCATGCGGAACGCCGTGGAACTATAGTCAAGAGCAGTTGACAGGACGGTCGAAGCAGCCGAAGAGGCTGCCGCCATCAAGTGGAATTGAAGTGGCGCCGATCGAAGGACCGCCCGTACAAGTCCCGAGAACTCCAGCAGTTGGTCTGGAGACACCACAGTATAGCCCAACAGCATCGGAAAGACCAAGTGATGCAATGGCGTCTGATCCACCGACAAGTGATGATGATGACAATGACGAAGATCCCGGCGAAGGCCAAAGAAGTTCTGAAGCAAGTAGCAGGAAAGGAGCAGCGGCAAGGAAAAGGGATGAAGCAAGTATGACCTCGGGTGAAGCCGAGGAAGAAGAGCCGGAAGGCACGAGCAAAAGAGAGCTCGAAGGAGCAGCCTCAGAAGAACCTGAAGCCACAAGGCCGAGAGTCGACGAAGGAAGCGGACAAGTTGAAGAAAGACCTGAGAAGATCCAAAGAGGAGAACCCTCAGGAACGGTGAGAAGGATAATGGCCACAAGAAGTGTGCAAGAAGTTGCGTCATTTCTCAGGAAGGATTTGCCGAAGTACCATGACGACGAAGAGGTAGAGTTGGAAGAGTTTGACGGACTCGAAGTCGAGTTTAAAGAGCCTGAAGAGGAAAGAAGTTCAGAGCTCGGAGAAGACGAAGAGTTCGAGGAAAGCATGCCAAGGTGGTCAAACAAGTTCGAAGATGGACCTCCGAAGTTGGACGAAGATGAGCTGACGAAGGTCGACATTGTGTCAAGAGAGCACGAGATAAGCCGACTCACAGAGATGAAAGTCTTGAAAGAGCTGCCTGAAGGCACAAGTGTGAGCAACTACAAGTACCTTTCAACCAAAGTTGTCTACGATTGGAGGCATCGAGACAGTGAATGGCAACGGCGTGGCCGGTTAGTTGCCCGTGAGTTCAAATGGTTGGGGTCAACGGACATCGCATCGTTATTTTCCCCAACGGGAGTTGCGAGCACAGTGAAGCTACTCTCAGCAATGTTTGTGTCGTCGAATGACCACATCCTTGGAAGTATCGATGTAGGAGATGCCTACTTGATGGTGGAGCAAGAAGAACCAACAGTCGTCGAAGTCGATGGAAAGTACTATGAACTCGGATTCACGTTGCCAGGACAACGGATAGGATCAAGCGCATGGTTCAACAAGCTGAAAGGATACCTCGAAGAGTATGGACTCAAGTCCGACGAAGGACTACCAGCTTTGTTTTACAGGAGACAAGAAAAAGGAAAAGCTGGAATGGTTGTGTTATCGCACGTGGATGACATGGAACTGTACGCGACAGAGACAGAGTTCCAAGGATTGATCGAGTTCTTGAGAAAGAAGAAGTTGAAGATCAAGGTCGAAGGACCGTTGCGAGAACAAGAAGGTTCAATGAGTTTTCTGAAGAGAGGATTCAGCGCAGTGAACGATGGAGACGTTGAGATCACGATGAATTCCAAGTACATCGAAGGATTGATCGAAGTGTTGGAGTTGGAAAATTCGTATCCAAAGAAACTGCCATGCCCAGCGGACAATGGAAGGGCAATGCAAGCGAAGAAAGGAGGAATGGACCCGCTGTCGGAAGCGGATCATCACACGTACAGGAAAGGTGTAGGTATACTGTTGTACTTAGCGCCAGAACGGCCCGATTTGATGTACGTGCTGAAGAAACTTTCAACGAAGTTAGCAGCGCCGGTGGAAGCAGACATGGAACTGCTGAGGCACGCTGCGAAGTATCTGAAGGGTACACCCGACGTGTCGTTGATACACAAGAAGAGCTACCCAGGAAGAAGTTTTATCGAAGAGCGAAATGAGAGAAAAGATGAAGAAGTCGAGAGAAATGTCTATGAGCAAGAGTCACTGTTGGAAATAGTGACGGATTCTGATTGGGCAGCCGACAGAGAGTCAAGGCAAAGCGTGTCGTGTGGAGCGATCATGCTGAATGGAAATCTGATTCATTTTCAGAGCAAGCGGCAGAAGAGCATAGCTCTCAGCTCATGCGAAGCGGAGACTATCGCCGCAACGTCAATACTTTCTGAAGGAGTGTTCTTGAAAGCATTGTTGACGAGAATCCTCGGAAAAGAACCAAAGATGGTGATGTATTCAGATTCGAGCAGTTCAAGACAACTGATTGCTCGGAAAGGACTGGGGAAAGCCCGTCATCTCGACGTTGATCTGTTATGGATCCAGAGTATCCCGAGGTTGATCATCAAAGCGATCAAAGGCAAGGACAACCCAGCTGATCTGGGAACAAAGAGTCTAAGCAAAGACAAAATCCGAAAGTACATGACAAGCCTCGGATATGTAGGAGAGTTTGTGGACCAAGAAGAAGTTGAAAGGAATGTACAAGTGCGAAGAATGAACGGCAATGGCCGAAGCGGCAATGGCCGACGAATGAACGATGAGCGATTGGCGAAGATCATACAAGCTGTAACGATGGCTGTGTTGATAGGAATGGGAGAAGCCAAGAAAGCCAAGGAAGAAGACCAAGGACCGGGAATAGTCATGTGTATCATGATTGGTTGTGTGACATGCATGGTCTGTTGCACAGTTTATCCCGCAGCCGTTTTCTTGCTCAAACGAGTAGGAAAAGAGGAAAAGAAGAAAGGAAGGAGAACGATGGAAGAAGAGAAGACCCACGAACAAATGATGGAAGAAAAAGTGGAAGAGCTGAAGGAGATGAAGACAGGAGCCGAGGAGCGCAGGAAGAAGTTACTGGAGAATGCTCCAAAAGAAGAGGAACAGGCTGAAGAGCCAAAGGAAGAGGCCAAAGAAGAACTGAAGGAGGAGAAGAAAGAGAAGAAAGAAAAGAAGAAGGAGAAGGATTCGTCGTGCAGTGATTCTGCAAGCGAGTCATCTTCAAGCGAGTCAAGTTCGAGCGACGAGAAAAAGGAGAAGAAAGAAGAAAAGGACCAGAAAGAAGACAAGGACCAGGAAAAAGTCAAGAACCAGGAAGAAGTCAAGAACCAGGAAGAAGTCAAGAACCAGGAAGAAGTCAAGGACCAGGAAGAAGTCAAGGACCAGGAAGAAGTCAAGGACCAGGAAGAAGTCAAGGACCAGGAAGAAGTCAAGGACCAGGAAGAAGCGCCTGAGAAGGAAGGAAAAAAGGAGGAAGAAGCCGAAAAAGCCGATGACGATGAAAGATACGTCCTCCTGGCAAAGGAAGGCCTATGGCCAACGATCTTAAGCTCAATGCAGCTGGACGAAAAGGGAGCAAAGATGCTCGAAGAGACAGGGATCGATGGCGACGCCCTAAGGTCCGAAGCGACGCAGAGAATGTTCCAAGAGTTCAAAGAGACAATGGAGAGTCCAGTCGTGAAGATTCCAACGGGATATGGAACAAGGGTGCAACAATGGTTGGCAGCCCTGAAGGGGCAAGAAGAAGATGAGAAGGACTCGGACGAGTTGATGTACGAAGATGTCGCCAATGCAGAAAAGGAAGCGGAAGATGCCGAACGGGCATATGGCGAAAAGTACCGCGAGGTTGAGAAGATGATGGAAGAGTGCAAAAGCCTTAAGTCCACGATGCAGAAGAAGAAGGAAGCTGAAGGACATTTGGCGGAGTACAATGAGTTCAAGCACTCGAGAAGAATGCTGAGCGTGGTAAGGATGCTTGTAGAGACAAGTGAAGAAGTGATGAAGTGTTTGGTGGAAGCATCGCCAGACTACGGTCGGATTTTCGAAGAAAGACCGAGAGTGTCCTTACTCGAGCGAATGCGCAAAAGGAAATTGGCCGAAGGAGCCAGCGAGGCAGAGTCAATGGCTGCAGGCTCGGAAAGGCAAGTGAAGACAAAGGCAATGCCAAAGCCGTTGAAGATGCGCAAGGAGATGGCAGAAGTTGTGCAAGTTGATGATGCCATCGAAGAGAAGAAGTATGAAGGTGAAGGAAAGGAGAAAAAGAGAGAAGAAGACCTGAGCCAGGTCAACCCAAGGTGGCTTTTGAAGTCAAGTGAAAGGAGCACCCGAAGCGAAAAGGAGACGGGAACGCGCCAGCCCGGATGCTTTTTCTGTAAGGGATCGCATCGTGCGATCAAGTGCCAAGTGATGCTGGATTTGGCAAAGGAGATCACGGGAAAAGTCCCAAGTCTCGATTGGCGAGAAAAGGAGAAGCGTGGTTTGTGGTGCAAGTGGTGCTGGTACACAACAAAGAACCCGTCTGAGCATACGGGGTGGGGAAGCCACACCCACCAAAGGTGCTGGTACCAGAAGCAAGGCCAAGAAGTTGAGGCCAAAGTCAAAGCCGAGAAGGAAAAGGCAGGAGCAAAGGAAGTCAATGATGAAGTCCAGAAAATGGTGGATATGAGCGAGAGACCTGCCGAGCCAAAAGGATTGCCACCGAATCCCCAATGGGGGTTGGAGACGCTCAAGAAGAGAAAGGAGCCAGAAACGCCAGGACCAACCGTCGAAGAGGTCCAGACAAGCGATGAAGAAGCGAAGAAGAAGCAAGCAAAGGAGAACATCAAGAAGATCAAGAGAGAAGAAAGGAGAAAGGAACGTGAAGAGAGAAAGAAGGCAAAGAAAGAAGAGAAGAAGGCAAAGAAGGAAGAAAGGAAAAAGGCCAAAGGAAGCGAGGCCAAGGAGCCGACAGCCGAGATCGACAAAGAGGATCTGTAAGCGCTGAAGATCTGAGAAGGATGAGGTCATTTTATACTTTTGCAATTCATGGGTGCATGAATTTTCATGAACATGATTGATTTGTTCACCATGTGAATTTTGATCTCTCCGTCGCAGTGTGGCTGTGTGCAGCTCAGAGGATCAAAATTTTGTGTTGGGGCTCCGCTAATCTCGTAAGGGTGCCGCTGCTCTAGAGGTCCTGGGCGCTAAGGGTCTTCCCTCTAGGGGTCGTGCAAGCTGAGACCCCGGGTGGTCTCAGCGGATGGACACCAGCTCGTCTTCGAGCGATTCGAGCATCAGCTGGGATTGGCCGCCTCTGCCTCAGTGTGCTGCATTTCGACCAGTCCTCATCCGGCCTCGCTGCTTCCATCTTGACCTGCTTGAGCGCCGAGTGGCTGCCCCCCCTGACCTTTTCAGTTACGTGCTCGAGAGCTCCTTTTCCGGGGTTCTGTTGTCAACTGCGGAGGGCTCCAGGGTTTTCTTGTGCCTTAGTCCCCAGGCTTGGTTCCGTTTGGCTTGCAGTGGCCGCAGGATCCACGCGTGCACCCGACAGCTTTTGCAGCTGTCTGCTTGATCAGAGTGCCGTCTGATGTCCGCGCCCGGCTCAAGTTCCGCACCGCCCATGTCTGCATCAGCTTCTCAAGGGGGGGAGGTTAGCTGCTTTGACATCGACAGGTTGCTTGTGGAGGCACAGCTTGCTGCAATTCCTGACAACATGCCTAAATTCCCTTGGGAAACCGGATCGTTCAAGGCCATCTTTGGTGAGGGAATGGCCGGTGTGTTGTCTCCACCAGTGCTGAGGCAACCTTCTCTTGTGCCCATACCTGGGGTTGCCTCCCCTCCGCCGGAACCTGCGCCCGTGCAGAGTGCTTCTGGGAAACGCAAGCATGCGCATTTGTTTCATGAGTGTTCTGCTAAAGCCTCCAGAGATGAAAATGCTGACAGTGATGAGCATTTGTGGAACATCGCTTTGAGCAAGTGGGTTACTGTGTTCATTTTGTGCGAGCACCAGGGAAGCACAGGTGCCATGCTTCAGGACAGCTTCTGGTCCGAGGACGGCACTGCTCGGGAAGATATCATCCGTGATGTCTTGGGGTTGAAGGCTCCGAGAACAGCGTCAAAGAGAGCCAATGACTTGTTGCGTTGTTTCCGGTGGCATGTAGAGCAAGGCAAGTCCCCGTGGCCCTGGAGCATCAAGTCTCTTTCGTGTTATATCGAGTCACTAAAGGGTACTAAAGGGTATGCAAGTGCCACTGCTACTCTGTTTCAGGCCATCAATTTTGCGCATCATGTGGTCGACATCCCCTTTAGTGCTGAGATCTTGAGTGACAGGCGCCTTCAGGGCAGGGCGAAGAGGCTGATTGCTGATAGTGGTCCCCTGAAGCAAGCCACAGCATTGCGTGTTGAGCAAGTCATCCAACTTGAAATTCGAACGACCTCCAGCGAGACTTGTGTGCAAGACAAGTTCCTTTTGGGCGGGATGCTTTTCACGCTATACTCTAGATCGAGGTGGTCCGATCATCGCTTGCTTGATTTTATCTTGTTTGACGAATGTGGGGCTCCTACTGAAGGTTTTATTGAAGCACAGACCTCCCATCACAAGACTAGGAATTGCAAGAAAGCTGCCAAGCGTGCCATGCCACTGGTTGCCCCCATGTTCAGCTTGTCAGGCCATGACTGGGCCAGTGCATGGTACCAAGCAGGCGTCGAACTTGGGTTTCCGTGGGATGCATCTCCCTTAGGACCTTTGGTGAGGGTTCCGGGTTTTTCAGGGGTCTCTAAGCGGAAATGCAGCAGCGCAGAGGCGTCAGCCATCCTACGGAGTGCCTTGGAAGTGGATGCTTCTTCAGGGGTATCATCACACTCCCTCAAGGTCACCACTCTGAACTGGTGTGGCAAGAGGGGTTTGCCCGAGTTCGATTGTTTGATGTTGGGTCACCATGTCACTGGGTCCAAATCGCGTGCGGTCTACTCACGTGAACTTCTCAGCGCACTGCTGCGCTCCTATGTCGCCATGCTGAAAGAAATCAAAGCAGGGGTGTTCAAACCAGATGCCTCCAGGTCGGGTTGGTTGTCCGACTGCGCCGCTTTTGCACCTTCACATGCAGACTTTCGTTTTGATAACCCGAAGCGACGTGGGATCCTTGCTAGTGAACCTGCCGTGTCTCCCAGCGATATGTTGGGCCCAGATGCAGGTGCGTGCGCCCCTCGCTCCCCACAGGAGTTTCCGGAGAGCCCGCTTCTTGCACAGGATGCACCTGGCGAGTTTATGGAAGGTGGAGTTCGGGATCATGCTGATGATGACGTTGATGAGACATCCCCTCCCTCCTGGGGGGGTGCCTTGCCTGACAACACTGCCCTGCCCGGTGTTGAGTCTGAGCGCGATGCAGGGGATGCAAGTAGCGATGAGTCAGATAGCAGTAGCTCAAGTGACAGCAACGCGTCCTCAGGGCAATCGATTGCCGAGGAGGGCATCCTTCGGAATGCCGGAGCTGCCCAAAGTTTTGATGTGCCGGGCCCGTTATGGCAGCACAGAGGTTCAAAGATGCTGCACAAGGCGGTGCAAGGCTCGGAGATGACCAAGTGCTCGCGTAGAACGGGTGGGAATGCCTACCTGTATCTTCCTGAGGGCTCTGTGTCGAAATGGACACGCTGCTCGACATGTTTTCGTGGTGAACTGATCACCTCGAAAGGCGGTATGGTGGCTGCCTTAGACGCGCTGAGCGCACCCAGAGCATCCACATGATGGTGTGGAACGAGGGGAGCCGATGCAATTTTGTTTTCTGAACGTGGCTGAACGCAGCTAAAGAAACTCGTGTGCGAGTCGCTTGCATTTGATCGTGCTTGGATTTGATATATGCCGTCCACTTTGAGTGCACTCGCGTGTGGTGGTGTGCAGCCGAGTCTTGACAGTGATGTTTGTGGATTTGGTTTAGGAACTCATCACACTTGTGCTGCCTGTTATGAACCGATACAAACCACCTGGATTGGACTGCTTGCTCAGCGTGCATCTTCATAAGGCATTTTGCCTCAAGACAGCAACATGGCGGCCACTTCCGTGTTGGCATCGACGCCTGCTTTGGAGAAGCAATGTGAAAAGGTCGGCCTCTCTGATGAATGGACCAAGGCGATGATCGCTGCGCAAGTTGACACCTTGTCCAAGGTCTCCTATGCAGTCAGCTTACCAGGCACGCCCGCGACTGACACCAACATCGAGGACTTTGCTGGCAAACTTCGACCAGGTGTTGCTCTCTCTTTGGGCGACAATGCAGCACTTAAGCGCTTGGTCTTTGAAGCTCAGACACTTTGCATCGCCGAGCTTCGGAGTTCGGTGCAGGTTGGTGAAGACGCTCCACGCAAGCTGCCGGCTGCAGAACGTGCTCTGCGGATAGAGCAGCAAGCAGCTCGCTTGAAGGGACTGCCTCTGGCCAAAGGTGCATGGCAATGTGCGCACAGCCTCTACGATCGTTTTGCTCACATGAGAGAGACCGAAGAGCTTCGCTTTGTCCCACCTGATGAATGCATCACCCGGGATCAGGAGTTGGCCGGCAGCAAGGCACCGAAGTCTGTGCAGCTGGATGCAAGCAAGTCGGGCCTCATCGTGAAGGATGAGGAAATCACCAATACAATGAACATCACCTCAGATCACGAGCTTTACCTGAGTTTCATGAGGCGCGCCTTGGCCATGGATCTCGTGGGCCTCGCCAGCTTTGATGTGATGCAGAAGTGGATCGAGCGTCTGTTCGATGTGATGAACCAGGATCCACCTCCAAACTTCTCCCGGGTCTCTCGTGCCCAGGTCCTTCGTGCGGATCGCCAAGTCTTCGTCGAGCTGGCCCGTAGAGCCAATGGAGGGCTGAAAGCCCTCGCCGATGGCTCGCTGCCACTGGATGCAGAGTTTCGCAATTTGCCGGGCAACACTGAGATCATGTACTTCTTGCTGCCGACACCGGAGAAGGGCAAGGGCAAAGGCAAAGGCAAGGGAGACAAGCGCAAGCATTCGGGCGATGGCGATGAAGGTGGCGACAAGAAGAAGGCCAAGACCACTCGCGATCCCGTGCCCAAGGAGCTTCAGGGTTGCCATAGCAGGACTCCCAAGAATAAGCCGATTTGTTTCAACTATAACTTGGGCAAGTGCAAAAAGGGCAAAGCCTGCAAGTTCGAGCATGTGTGTTGCAGACCCAATTGCTATGGCAAGCACCCCTTCTCCCAGTGCCCGAAAGCCAATGAAGCTGCTGACGTTGCTACTTCTGCTGAGTGACTATCAGCAGACCTGTGCACAGGCGACCTTGTGGCTGTCGCTGTTCCTACATCGTCCACAGATGATGTCAATTTTCCTTGTTCTGCCGTTGACCGTGCTTCGTTGCCTGCTGATTTTGATGTGCAAAGCCAGGTGCCTCGGCTTGTTAAACCCGTCACGCAATGTGTGGGCGAGACTCCGCGAGGTTTTTGCCTTGAGGTCTTTGCTAAACATGCCCAATTCACGGCTGCAGTGCGTCGTGCTTTGCCTTGTTCCTTTGGGGTGGGTTACGGGTGTTCTGCCACATCACGTGCCCCCATCGTTCATGCCGATCTCTTGAGCCCTGCAGGGCTTGCGCTGTGTGCCTCATGGGCACGTGAGGAACTGTGCTTGTGGGTGCACATTCGGTGTCCATCTACTGTCTTCCCGATTGCACACAAAGCCCACTTAAGCCCTTTGGGTGATGATGCTTCCGCTGTGTTGTCTTTGACCCGCCAACTCATTAAACACTGCGACGACACCTCTACCCCTTGGTCCCTTGAGTGTCGTGAGCGATCTCTGTTTTGGCAAGATGAGTGGGCCAGCTCCCTGCCGTCCCTTACTGTCAACATGTGCCAGTTTGGCCATATGCACCGCTCGCCTGTCAGGTTGGCCACTCGTCATCCGGAAGCATTCCGTCATTTGGCTATTCCATGTCAGCATGTGCATGTGTCCACTGCCACAACCACCAATCGTGTGCCTCCAGAGGCTGTTGTTGCCTTTTATGATGCTGTGGGGACTGCCATTCTCGGGTTCTTGCGGTTCCCGCCCCTCGCTCCCGGCCCCACTCCCTTGCATTTGGCACAGGTGGCTGCCGGCTTGCAGCCCCGACGTTCGCACCTTTGCCTGGTGCCTGAGTTTAAGTGCATTGCCAATGTTCGCCTCCCGGAGCTGCCCCCTCTTCAGGACGGCAAACTGAAGCACGAGCTGGTCGTGGGTGACGTGTGCGTGCCTGCAGGATCCAAGCACTTACTCCCTGGTTCTCAACGGGGGAAGGATGGCCAAGGAGCAAGTGCAGCAGTGGGGGGATCCGATTCTCCCTTCTGTGGACCTTCCCTTCCTCACCCTAAGTTAACTACGGCCTCGACGTCTGCGGCCCACTCCTTTTCCCCTAAGCTCTCTAAGCTGCCCATGGTCACGAGTTCTGAGACCGGGCGCCCTAACCCACAGAAGGTGAGCGCTGCATCGTGTGTGGACACAAATCAGGATGTTTTCTCGCATGAAGCTGAGCTGGCTGCCAGCCGTTTGGGCGATGTGCCCACACGGGAGGAGCTCTTGAGCATATTTGCTTTGCATGATGCTGACCCTTCTAAACGCATGGCCGGGATTCGCGCGAGCGAAAAATCTTGGTCATCAGGTGCTTATGCCATGGGAGGCTGTGTCGGCGTCCGAAAGAATGCTTCCATGTTCCCTGTGTTCACCCGAGCACTGGTCCGGTTCCTCAGGCATCAGATCCCCGATGCCAGGTTTTCATGCGTTGCTATCTTTTGCGATATGTTACAGGGCATGCACAAAGATATGTGCAATCAAGAGGGTACACTCAACTATGGGGTTGCGCTTTCGGACTTTTCGGAAGGGTTTGTGTGGGCTCACGACCCGGCGGGCAAAGTTCACAAGTACACGCCATCAGGTAAGCTGCCGGGGGTGTTGCACGACATTGCAAAAGCCCCGGTGCGCTTTGATGCGAGAAAGTTTCATTGCGTCATGCCGTGGCATGGACAAAGAGTCGTGGTGATTGGCTACACACCGCAAAGAGGTTGTGCCCTCAGTGCCAAAGAGGTTCGTTATCTGCTTAGCTTAGGCTTTCCGTTGCCGTGGGTCGACACGCCGTCTCCTACTGTGCCTCCAGTCCACGATGCACCTGTCGAGCAACGCTTGGAAAATGTCGCCGACTCTGGTCCCGTGCACTCTAAGCTACCTTGTGCCTCTGCGGCTGCATGCGATACCCACTTGTACACCTTCGGTGTTTACCACTCTGAAGCCGAGTTCGTCCGCAAGGCCGTGCAGGTGGGGCATCCGAGGAGCCTCTATGGTAGCTTGCCCCAAGCCATGGAGGAGTGTATCGATGCGTTGCTTGTCATGCCTGAGGCTTCAGTTGTCACTAAGCGTGCGGCATGGCTTGCGCATTGGACGGCTCGTGCCAAGGCCATCCAGGAGAACCCCGATCCTGATTGGCACATCCAAGATCCTGCAATGCGCGCTATCCTTGGACGAAAGAGGCTGCAGCTGCTTGATGAGATCCTTTTATCGGAGGGTTACGGCGATTGCACACTAGCTAGGGACATGCACCATGGTTTTGACTTAGTGGGAGTGGCGCCGCCTTCTGGTGTGCTGCCTGGCAAGGTCACCCCTGCTTCTCTTGAGCCTGAGGCCCTTAGTGCCAATGCGTGTCGTGCCAATGATGCCTTGCGTGCAAGTTTGCGTTCTTGTGGCGATCTGGAGCTCGATGAGAAGCTTTGGGAGAAGACCCTGCTGGAGGTCGAACAAGGATGGTTGCAGGGACCGCTCGAGTGGTCTGACTTAGGCCCGGGGGAGATAGCATCACCCCGCTTTCCTTTGTTGCAGAATGGCAAAGTGCGCCCGATCGACGACTACTCTCGATCTGGTGTCAATAGTTGCGTAACCACACTTGAGCAGCCAACCGTGGACACTGCCGACGTGGCAGCCGCCATGTTCAGCAAACTCTCGAACGGCTTGGTGCGCAAGGGGAGGTCTGGTGCTCTCCTAGGTAGGTCTTACGACTTGACATCCGCATATCGACAGCTATGTGTGTCGAGGGAGTCGTCACGCTTTGCCATAGTGGCAGTGTTCTGCCCAAAGGATGGGAAATCATACCTATTTCGCCAGCCTTGCCTACCATTTGGGTCGCGTGCATCAGTCAATGGTTTCATTAGGTGCTCGAGGTGCATCCAGTGGATCGCACTCCGGTGCTTGCTTGTGCCGCTGACGTCCTATTACGACGACTTCATATCTGCGTCAACATGCACTCTTGCTGCCAACACCGACACGACCATGGCGATGCTGTTTCGCCTATTGGGCTGGCAGTATGATGAGGTCGGTCCAAAGGCTGACGTTTTTAGTGACCGGGTTGAAGCCCTCGGAGTGGCCTTTGATCTTTCCGAGACATGTTCCGGTGTGGTCATCGTGGACAATACCCTCAGAAGGAAAGATGCTCTAGACAGCCTAGTTAGCGAAGCACTTGCAAGGGGGACCCTCAATCATTCTCAATCGCTCGAGATGCGCGGCAAGCTGGCCTTCGCTGATGCACAGGTCCTCGGTCACTCGGGGAAATTTGCTCTGAAGTTGCTGTCTGCGCATACCCATGCGATTCCTTTCAAGACGCGCATTGCTGATGACTTGAGCCGCGCTCTGAAGTACTTGAGACAAAGAATCGTTGAGGGCTCTCCCCGGCGTGTGTTACCAACTGCCAAGGACACGTGGTTCCTTTTTACCGATGCATGTTTCCACGACGCTGGTGATGGTGGTTTAGGCGGGGTGCTGGTGTCTTCCCTAGGTTCGGTGAAGTCGTGGTATTGCCTTCCTTTGTCAGCCGATGACATCCAGCCGCTCATTTCCCACACAGCCCGCACCGGGATTGGCGAACTCGAGACAATGGCGACCTTACTTGGCATCCAGCTATGGAGGGGCCATCTACGGAGCACCAACGTGGTAGCTTTCAATGACAACGAAGGTGCCAAGTTCGCCTTGGTCAAGGGTTACTCCAAATCCATGTCAGTCACCAGGATTTGCCACGTGTGTGCGACTGTTTGTGAGACCGACATGATCATGCCTTGGTTCTGTCGTGTTCCCTCAGCATCCAACATTGCCGATCCGCCTTCACGCAGTATGTCCTGCGATGCCTTACCCGAAACCTTCAAGCTGCCCTGCGATCAGGTGCGGCGCGCGTACCTTAGCTTGAGGGGTCGAGTCTGCAGTATGCTCTCGTAGCCTGGATGGGGGTGTAGGTGGCAACTCGAGCGACTGCGCTCTCTGGCAGCAGAGATTTTGGGAGTGCCCACTTTCTCTTGCTATATGCAAGCACTCTTTACCGTGCCACGCCCCCGTCTGTGTAAAAAGAGAAGGGTTGTCCGAGTGATTGCATGCTTTCATTTCATGTTCTTGTCTCTCACTCTTTTGCTGGGGGATGTGATGTTTTAGCTTATTGCTTCCGTGTTTTTAGTTGATCGACAACTTGGCGATCTAAACTCTGGTGTGCCTTCCCAAGTATACCGAAAATAAGAGCGCCTTCTCGCAAGCGAGACAGCACCTTATTTTCATTTTATACTTTTGCAATTCATGGGTGCATGAATTTTCATGAACATGATTGATTTGTTCACCATGTGAATTTTGATCTCTCCGTCGCAGTGTGGCTGTGTGCAGCTCAGAGGATCAAAATTTTGTCCCGCCCGCCCTCCCTGATTGGGGGTGTAGGTGGCAACTCGAGCGACTGCGCTCTCTGGCAGCAGAGATTTTGGGAGTGCCCACTTTCTCTTGCTATATGCAAGCACTCTTTACCGTGCCACGCCCCCGTCTGTGTAAAAAGAGAAGGGTTGTCCGAGTGATTGCATGCTTTCATTTCATGTTCTTGTCTCTCACTCTTTTGCTGGGGGATGTGATGTTTTAGCTTATTGCTTCCGTGTTTTTAGTTGATCGACAACTTGGCGATCTAAACTCTGGTGTGCCTTCCCAAGTATACCGAAAATAACCACTTCATTTTCCACCTGAGAAGTTTGTTGCACCACTGCAACTTCCCTACCATCTGTCAGCGCTTGTACCACTTGCTGTCGTTCTTCACCCCCATCACCACGATTTTCTTCGGCTTCATTGGCCGCGGATGACAGTCCAGGTTCCGACCGACGCCGCAACATGTCCATTGCGCCAAACAAGTGTAGAATCTTACCTACACCGCAGGGAGCCTAATTTTTCGGCTCATAACCTACGGGGGCAACCAAAGGGGGACAAGGAACAAAACAGTCAACCCCAGAAGAAGCCCTTAAGCTCCCTGGACCAACCACACAACAAACCCAAACCGCAGGGCACTCACCTTTTACTACCAGGCACATGGCCCAGTCTTGAGCCAAAATTTGTTTGCAGGTGTTTTAACCCTTCCAACCTGTAAAAGGCAACCTCCGCATAGGGTTTAGGGTGGGTCTAGGGGTTAGGGACTTGGGCTTGGCGTTTGGCCCGTTGGCGGTTGCGTCTTGGGGCTTTTCGAGCGCACATCTGTTGATACATGATCGGACATGTCACAAAGCTAAGGGTTTTCGATATGTTTCGACATTATCCTGGACCCTCCATGGACTCTATAGAGCCCATACCCATTTATTTGGGACCACAGGAGGGTCCTGGAATACGGCTTTCCGATTGGAACCATGCGCGATTCAGAAACTGGACGCGATTCAGGAAACCAGGATTCAGGAAACTGCGCGATTCAGGAAACCAGGATTCAGGAAACCACGCGATTCAGGAAACTGCGCGATTCAGGAAACTGTTTTCCCGCGATTCAGGAAACCGCGGTTCAGGAAACCACAAGATTCAGGAAACTGAAAACACGCGATTCAGGAAACCGCGCGATGCAGGAAACTGACAGCACGCGATTCAGGAAACTGCGCGATTCAGGAAACTGCGCGATTCAGGAAACCAGCGGATTCAGGAAACCACGCGATTCCGGAAACTGCTCGATTCAGGAAACTGCGCGATTCAGGAAACTGCACGATTCAGGAAACTGCGCGATTCAGCAAACCACGCGATTCAGGAAACCATGCGATTCAGGAAACCGCGCGATTCAAGCCTGTTGAAATGTGGGGAGCTGCTTTGTGACACTAACCGTTCAAGCGCATTGGGCTCCAGCAGCCATTCAAGCAACAGCATCAGCCTGTTGAAACTGGTCTCGAGGGGGGGGGGGATGATAGCGTCCAGGACAAGGCTGCTTTGTGACACTAACCATTCAAGCAACAGCATTGGGCTCCAGCAGCCCTTCAAGCAACAGCATTGGGCTCCAGCCTGTTGAAACTGGGTGTCGGGGGGTGGGGGTGGGGGATGATAGCGTCCAGGACAAGGCTGCTTTGTGACACTAACCATTCAAGCAACAGCATTGGGCTCCAGCAGCCCTTCAAGCAACAGCATTGGGCTCCAGCCTGTTGAAACTGGGTGTCGCGGGGGGGATAGCGTCCAGGACAAGGCTGCTTTGTGACACTAACCATTCAAGCAACAGCATTGGGCTCCAGCAGCCATTCAAGCAACAGCATTGGGCTCCAGCCTGTTGAAACTGGGTCTCGCGGGGGGGGGGGGGATGATAGCGTCCAGGACAAGGCTGCTTTGTGACACTAACCATTCAAGCAACAGCATTGGGCTCCAGCAGCCCTTCAAGCAACAGCATTGGGCTCCAGCCTGTTGAAACTGGGTGTCGGGGGGGGGGGGGGGATGATAGCGTCCAGGACAAGGCTGCTTTGTGACACTAACCATTCAAGCAACAGCATTGGGCTCCAGCAGCCATTCAAGCAACAGCATTGGGCTCCAGCCTGTTGAAACTGGGTCTCGGGGGGGGGGGGATGATAGCGTCCAGGACAAGGCTGCTTTGTGACACTAACCATTCAAGCAACAGCATTGGGCTCCAGCAGCCCTTCAAGCAGCAGTATTGGGCTCCAGCCTTGAAACTGGGTGGGCGGGGGGGATGATAGCGTCCAGGACAAGGCTGCTTTGTGACACTAACCATTCAAGCAACAGCATTGGGCTCCAGCAGCCATTCAAGCAACAGCATTGGGCTCCAGCCTGTTGAAACTGGGTGTCGCGGGGGGGGCGGGGAGGGGGGTTGCGGGGGGTTGGGGGGGGGGGGGAGGGGGGATGATAGCGTCCAGGACAAAGCATTGGGGTATAGCCTGTTGAAAGTCGGGGGGGGGGAGGATGCGCTATCATCCAGGACACGGCTGCTTTGGGCTCGCCCGATCCGGTAATTGGAATCCACACGAATCCGGTTCCTCCAATCCGCGGTTTCCGAATCCGCGTTTTCCAGTTTCCTGAATCAGCTGGTTTCCGAATCCGCGTTTCCCCAGCTGGTTTCCGAATCCGCGTTTTCCAGTTTCCTGAATCAGCTGGTTTCCGAATCCGCGTTTTCCAGTTTCCTGAATCAGCTGGTTTCCGAATCCGCGTTTTCCAGTTTCCTGAATCAGCTGGTTTCCGAATCCGCGTTTTCCAGTTTCCTGAATCAGCTGGTTTCCGAATCCGCGTTTTTCAGTTTCCTGAATCAGCGGTTTCCAGTTTCCGAATCCGCGTTTTCCAGTTTCCTGAATCAGCTGGTTTCCGAATCCGCGTTTTCCAGTTTCCTGAATCAGCTGGTTTCTCGAATCCTGGTTTCCCGAATCCGCGTTTTCAGTTTCCGAATCCGTGTTTTGTAGTTTCCAGAATCAGGGTTTTCCAGTTTCCGAATCCGCGTGTTTCCAGTTTCCGAATCCGCGGCTGACCTTCCGATTGCTTGGTTTCAAGGGCTTAAGGAGATGGCCGGAAACGGTATACGTATGCTGAACAGTTTTACACCGGGACCTAGCTGAATTTACAGACCCCGGCCGAGAAAGCCCGTTCAAGGTGTCTAGAGGGTTTAAGGGCAGTTTATCTGTAGGTCTGTTATCAAGCCTATTCAGAGGTGTGTCGGTGTCCAAGTAAACCCGAATACTAACTTACCTTCCTGCGATACCAACACCAAATGGGAGTTTCCGAAATTGCTTGTGTCCATGGCAGCATAGAAGCATTAGTGACACCTGGCTGTACATGGCATCATGGACGAACGACCCTGGACGAAGGTCTACTACCTGTTACCTAGGTTACTCTTGAGGGTCTAGCAGTTCTAAAGCCCCATCACAAGTCCAAACAAGATTGAAGCTCTAAACCCTAGAGCTTTCCGCGCTCGAGGGGCCTTCACTCAAGACAGGGACTGAGGCTCATACCATTCCATACCATACCATGCCGTACCATTCGATACTACATGATACTATACCGCACTGTGCTATGCTATAGTACGCTACACTACAGACACTACATTTGGCCTGAGTATCCAGGGTTGTAGGGTCCTTTAAGTCAATCCAACAGACCATCGAGTGGCCTCCGAATCTCTACACTTTCTGCAAACCTGTAGGCTGCAAGAGGTCTAGGTCCTCCAGTCCGAAGCCTGATTAGATCCAGAGGCTATGGCGCATGTCGCAGTCTTCTTGTCGATGTTGTTCGGCCTGGCGTTGAGACCTTGCCTCGGCAGGGCCTTTCCCCTGCTGAAATCCTTGGATAGTGTCTTCCAGGAGTTACCCAAGGACTGGGTCGCTCCTCGTGTGGCGCGGAGGTACTTCCATGTTTTGGGGAAGGTGCCAGAGGGGCGGCGCTTGGAGCTTCTGGCGCCAGGCTTGACCGAGCACAACGTTATTGTTGACACGTTGAACCGCACATACACCATCTATGTCGCCAACCCAGACACACACGTACAACAGCAGGGGCTCATTGTCTGGCTGCACGGTCTTAATAATCACCACCTCCGCATTTGGAATTCGGGGGACTACCGAAGCAACACTGCCAAGCTTGGTTGGGTATCGGTTTTTCCGCTGGGTTGGACTGCTAACAGGGACGGCACAGGCCGAAGTTGGTACTCGGGGGGGTGCTGCCATATAGATAACGCGGTTGTGGACGATAAATCCTTCATCAAGGAGATGATGGCCATCATCCGTGGCACTTTCCAGCTGGACATCCCGGAAGGGAGGTTCTTTCTCTCGGGCTACAGCGCAGGTTGCTACCTCGCACACGCGATCTCCTGCGATCCAACGACAGCCGCCGACTTCGACGCCTTCGGCGGCCATGGTTGCTATTGGAACCGGAGTTGGAATTATTACTACTGCGTTGAAGGTTGTGCCCCAACGAAGCCCTTCTTCTACGCAACAGGGACTTTGGATCAATATTTTCTCGAAAAGGATGCAGATGCGAGTTGGGCTCGTTATACGACGTGGCTACAGTGCCAAGGAGAGGCGCAGCTGTCTTTCAGCTCCGGTATTGTCACATGCACCGACAAGACGAATTGCGGACCAAATTTGGTAAGCGCTCGGCACTGCAAGCTTCACGGTTATGGGCACGGCTTTCCTGTTGCATCCCAAGACCCCCCAAGGTGGGAGTTTTCCTTGGAACAATGGAAATGGTGGACGAGCGTTGTCGAAGCTAACGTCACGGAGTTCAACTTCACGGGGTATCGTGCGGGGTTAACGGACCCCTCAGCGGACGATGCCGCCCCATCGAAGGTGTCGTCCCTTGGCCTTTTCCTGGCCATGGTCTCACTTCATATGGTGATTTGAATGCCGTGTTTCGGTGCGTTCTGACCCAGACTCAGACAGGTCTAGAAGGAGCAGGCTCAGCTCGCTCCAGGATGCACACATGGCTTAGGGTTTAGCATTTTGGGCTTGGGGTTTAGGGTCCAGGGTATGGGGTTTAGGGTTTAGGGTTTGGAGTTTAAGGCTTCGGGAATAAGGTTTCGGGCTCAGGGTTTGGGATTTTGGGTGCGCGGTTGAGGGTTTATTGTTTGCAGGTTTAGGGTTTGGGGTTCAGGGTTTGGGGTTTGGGGTTTATTGTTTGGTGGTTTAGGGTTGAGGGTTCAGGTTTTACTGATTGGGGTTTAGAGGGTCGAGGGTTCAGGGTTTGGGGAGTTGAAGGCCTGCGACGACGGTGTAACTTTCCAGCACCGAAACATGGTCGCTAGACCCATCTGGGGTTTGACGGAAATTGGGGGTCCTTATTTGGGGGGTCTATAGATTAAGAACTCATACTATTTGGGGTCCATATTGAGGGCTCTCCCTTTTCTCGGAAACTACCATCTCACTCCACACGACTTGTGGCTCGAATGTGCAGGCAGCGCGAATCACAAAGCCCATCCGGCTCGAGGCATGTCATCTCTCAGAGATGTTAGCTCGTAAAAGCTTACAGGCAGACGATGGGGAAGCAGGCGCGCTTCAAAAAGCCTCTGCTGCTCGTTGGTATGTTGCGGGTTAAATGGCTAGGACCCGGAGTAGGCCCTTATTCCCTTTACTGGGGTTCAGGTTCCCTTATAAAGTCCCTTTAAACCAAAAAGGGCACCCTTGTTCTTCGGGCTTCTATTATCTAGGGGTATATACACCCAAAACGCTAAACCCAAAACCCTAAACCCTATGCAGAGCTGCAGTTTGTATATAAGGTAGTATTTCAAGGGGGTTGGAAAACCCGTTACCTTTTGGCTCAAGATGGGCAATGCGCCTGCCTGAAGAAAAGAGCTTGCGTTTGTGTGTTGTTGGTTGGTTCAGGGTGAAATTCAGGGCTTCGGTTGGGGTTGATTGTTTTGTTCCCTGTCCCCCTTCGGTTGCCCCCCGTAGGTTATGAGCCCAAATTAGGCTCCCTGTGGGTTGTTAAGATTCTGTACTTGTTTGGGGCAATGGACATGTTGCGGCGTCGATCTGAACCTGGACTGTCATCCGCGGCCAATTAAGCCGAAGAAAATCGTGGTGATGGGGGTGAAGAACAACAACAAGTGGTGCAAGCACTGACGGATGGAAGAGAAGTTGCAGTGATGCAACAAACTTCTCAGGTTGAAAATGAAGTGGTTCCGGTGCCAGCAGCGAATCCTTTCTGGAGCGGGCGGGCTGATGAGAAAGTGAAACTGAGGCAATCAAGGCCGGCAAGTCTTCCCGCAAGCGGAGGGGATAGAAGTAGTGAAATACGAGGAGACCACCGTCGCTGCCAGATCTTCGGGATCGGGAACCTGTACAAGCTGAGAGGCCATCGTCAGGTTTGATGGGTCAAATGGAAAGAGGTGACATTGGAGAGACACGTGTAGAAGAAGAGCTGATTCCGGACACTACTGGTGTGGATCAAGGAGAAGATACGGCGATCGTCAAGCATGCGTTGAAGGAGCTTCTGGCGCATGCCAAGGAGCTGGGAAGCAGGTTGCATAGAGTGGAGGAGAAGAGTTATACCTCTGCTGCATCTGGGTCTGTGTCCCATGCACGAAGCGCCGGGGTAGTAGACGCGAACGCTGTATACCCACCAGGTGTCAGCCCAGAGAAGCAGTTTCTGCCTGGACAGGTTTTTTACACTGATGGGTTTGGACTGTGTTGTCAGATGGGACGTGGCTGCCTATCGAGGGTTATGATCTCCCAAGAGGTTGCAACCTTTAACCGATGCCGGAGGATGTCAAGGTGGAGGTGGAAAAAGAAGTGCCAATGTTGCATTTCCCTGAAGGCAAGAAACCCTCAAGGTTACCGCCGCTGAACCATCCTCCAGCGAGCTCTACCGGCCATGGATATATGGGAGGTGCGCCAGGTTCCAGTTGTTCCCCTACCGGCGGGAAGTGTCGGTGCTGCAGTTCCTCAAACGAATCCACCCGGCTTTGTTTCTGCACGGGAGGCGTCGTCACATGTGGATGCTGCAGGGTCAGGTGGATACACAATGGTGGAGGGTGTTCCGTATCGGTGAAAATGGTTGTTGGAAAATTGGAATTGGAAAAGGTTCCACTTACAGTGCCTACGTCTGGTGCGGGATATGGGTCTCTGCCAAAGCCTACTGGTGGTGTGAGTTTACCCCAAGGGGCAGTAGTTCCTCGGGCAACGCCGCCAACTGGTGATACTTCTGGGAGCGTCCAGAGGCTCTAGGAAAACATGTGATGAGTCTGCCCATTCTGGCAGAATACAACTCCAAGTAATCCTACGGCGCTGGGAGATTGGATCGCAATGATCGAACCAATGTTGTCTTCGCTGACGGATACAGGTAGAGTGTGGTGGCAATGCGTCTATTCAAGGGCGTACCAGGCGTATGCCAAATGGTTGAGTGTCTCCCCGCTGGAAAGGTTAGGCATCAAGGCCGAGCTAGAAGGGCTCACGGTGGTTCAGACTGCGCACGTGTTGCTCCCAGAGAGGTTGAAGACTGAGATAGTTTCCACTCGGATGTTGGGATCTACGATGATACTTCCCCAAACAGGAACCGTTTGGGGTCCTCTCCTCAGAAAAAGAAAGTGTCACGCGCTTGGCCAGATGGGTGTCACGCGCTTCGGGCCTGTGGTCTCCCATGGTCTCCGATCATGAACACAATTGGGCCATTGGGGCCGGGCGGGTGTCATGCGCTCGCGCCTGCGGTCTTATTATGGTCTCCGATCGTGAGCACAATTGGGGCCAATTGGGGCCGGGTGGGTGTCACGCGCTTCGGGCCTGTGGTCTCCCATGGTCTCCGATCATGAACACAATTGGGGCCATTGGGCTGGTAGGTGTCACGCGCTTCGGGGCCTGTAATCTCCCATGATCTCCGATGATGAGCGCAATTCGGGCCAATTGGGGCCGGGTGGGCGCTCGGCCTGCGGTCCCATGGTGTCGTCTTTCATGGTCTCCGATTGAATGACGTGCTCGCCGTCATGCCCAACCCTAAGCATGTTGAAGGTCTTGCTGTGTTACTTGGTGTTTGTGCGCAACGTCCGAAGGACAGTCCCTTGCCCACAGGCGGAACCCTTCCGCTGTGGACACAGCTGACACCCCTTGACGATGTCAGGTCAGGGATTTACAGAAAGTGCATCGGGGTACTTCTTTATGTGTCCAGCGATTATCCTGCAGCCCAATTTGGCATAAAAATGCTAAGCAGCATGTGTGGGAAGCCCAATGAAGGGGCATGGCGGTGCCTCATCTGGTGAACTATATGTTCTTCCACGAGAATCGCATCACTTGCCTTCGGACTGAGGGTAAAGGCATTGGCCTAGTTGTCCGTGATGACACCCACACTTTGGAGGTGTTCGCTGATGCTGATTGGTGAGGGAACCGATCAACAAGAAAGAGCACCAGTGCAGGATGCATTGCCTTCGACGGAATGGTCATTCACACATTTTCCAGAAGCCAAAGCTGCGTAAGCCTAAGCAGTGGTGAAAGTGAATATATTGCATGCGTGAGCGCTACATGCGACGGCATCTTCCTTCGTAGTGCCCTCCAACGCGTCTTACGCACCGATGTGTCCATGCATTTGTTCACAGATTCAAGCGCAGCTCGCGGCATTATGGGCAGGCAGGGATGCGGACGTCTTCGTCCTGTTCAAATGGAAGAAAGCATCGCTCCACGCGGTGCCGACCTTGACAAATTTGAAGACTGCGGCGCCGTAAGCAGGCAAAGAAGTTTCTTCGTGCTGTGAGGAGCACAGGTCATGGAAATGCCGAGGCGTTGCAACTTCTTGCGATGCTGGTCCAGGTCATGGGTAACAAGGCTACGGATGTTGAAGTGCGAGCACAGTTTGTGCCTGACTCGCCAGTGCCAACTGACGAGGATTCAAGCCCATGGATCAGCTTTATCTTCGTCGTCGTCGCAACAGTGTGCATTGCGTTCATGCTTGGCCGTGCCAGTGTCAGCTTGAACTTTGTATCCCTTTTGGAGTGGTCCGTAGTTAGTTGGGTACTTAGTTGGTTTAGGCTTGAAGCAACAGAGGCTCAGCAACCATTGCTGGCCGAAGCACCTGCTCTTGCAGAAAAACCTTGATATGCCTTCTGACGATAGCCGTGAGAGTCTTGGTTTACAGCATTACTCGCCGCGAACTCGTGCAGAGATCCTCGGTCGGTCGCCGCCAGTGACACCGAGTGATTCTGAACTTGAATCTGAGCAGCCAGACTCAGAGCCCGATGGCGATGATGATGACGATGTGTACCCTGGAAACCATGGTCCTGCTTACCCAAACCAAGCAGCGCTGATAGCGCTGTATGAAATGGTTGGTGAGGCAGCAGCCATAGATGTGCTGCCAGCCATCCCTTTGATCCCTGCTGGTCAACCAGCAGATGTGCAGCAGCCTGCACTGCTGCAGGATGACATCCTTCGGGTGAGGGAAGATGCTGATGTATGGATTGCCCCGAGAAGTGGAATCCGCTTTCATCTTCTTGGTGAGTGCGATGGTCTGAGGAGGGCCCGTCAGGTTCGCAGACTGACATACGGCCAGCTGCAGCTTGAGTTTCCTGGTCAGTATGACATGTGTTACTTGTGCCAGTTGCGGACTCGAGAGCTTGCACGTCGCCAGGACATTGCACGACTGGCCACCATGTACCACATTCTTCATGTGCATGGCCAACAGTTGCCAAACCCCATGCTTCAGATCCTTCCTGAGCCCGAGCCGCATGATGATACGTGAAAATGAGCCCAATCACGATGACCCACATCTTTTCGTTGCATGTGTGTTTAAATGAACCAGAATTAGTTGGATGCAATTTCTTGAAATGCTCATGATGCCTCTTGTGGATGCGGTCGTTGGCTGGTACCACTGTACCCGAGCTTGTGTGCAATTTTCTTGAGTTGCAGTGGAACATCTAAGAGCT